AGCTAAAACAATGTCTGATACATACTTAAATACCCAATAAAAGATAGCTAGTATTATAATCATTGTTGATGTGTTTTTAATGTATGGTATATTCTTCTTTGAAAACTGTGGGAGAGAAGACCCTTTTACATCTAAGGTTATGCCCAAAATATGTTAGATCTCTTCATATATTTGTATGTTATTATATGAACTTTAAAATTCTCAAATTTAATTGCATTTTATTCTTTCTCTTGGCTACTAGGAAGCTCAGATGCCTATAGGTGGCCACTCTCTAAATGGCAGAGGAACACATGCTTTGCCTTTCTGCATAGCAATTTTACTACTGTATTTTTTACAATCCTGACCAATTTTTTCCTTTACCCCAATTTTCTTGATTGTGTGCTTTTAACTTTTGGATTAGCTTACCTTTAAGCTGCTTCAAATCTTTTGTGGCAGGATATTGGGACTAGAGTAGATTAAAAATAGAGAAGTAATTTATGAATTTCAACAAATGCCACTGTTATAAAAAAAAATATTAAATCTCCTCCACATCAGTACTATTAAAAATACTTGTGCTCAGCACTATGGCTGATGCTTGTAATCCCAAAAACTCAGGAAGCTGAAGTGGCAGAATCACTTGAGGCCAGGAGCTCAAGGACGTAGTAAGCCATAAGACAACAAAGTGAGACCCCCAACTCTAAAAAAATAAAATAAAATAAAATGCTTGCTTGGCTCTGCACTTCTTAATGTTGTTGCCCAGCCAAGGACCCCAAGAATTCTTGCCATTGGGTTTCCAGATTTGTTTTCTTCATTTTTTTCCCTTTCTTGTACATTGCACAATCATATACGGGATAGAGTGGCTTTTATCATCTATTGCATTGCATGTGCAATGTCAAGAAGAGAATGAGGGGCCAGGCGCGGTGGCTCATGCCTGTAATCTCAAGACTTTGGGATGCCAAGGTGGGCAGATCATTCAAGGTCAGGAGTTCGAAGACCAGCCTGACCAACATGGTGAAACCCTGTCTCTACTGAAAATACAAACAAAAAAAAATTGGCCAGGTGTGGTGGCACACGCCTGTAGTCTCAACTACTTGGAAGGTTGAGGCAGGAGAATCACTAGAACTCAGGAGGCAGAGGTTGCAGTGAGTCGAGATCACATCACTGCACTCCAGCTTGGGCAACAGAGGGAGACTCCATCTCGTGGTGGCAGGGTGGGATGGCGGGGCGGGGAGAAAAGGATGATATTGTTTTCTGTTTAACTTATCTTTCTTTCCAGGTATCTTTCCCTACTCCTAATCTTCCATTTGAGCCTCTCCACCAGTCTCCGTAACAACCCTGCACATTGTCTATAGTGGTTTTGGCATTCCCCTGGAAGGACTGCAGAACCCAAGGTACTATCATCAGAAGTAGCTGACTCTACTACTTACTTTCGGAAGGGCTGATATGACCTATAGGAAGGCGAGATTTAAACAACTTAGCAAGAGCTATTCAGTTGCAAGTGACTAAGGACCTTAAAGACACACACACACACACACACACACACACACACACACACACACACGGCTTATTGTGTACTTTCCTATTATATTTTTGCATACCCATTATCTCCTTTGACTATCATTCCAATCCTTTGAGGTAGGAAAGCTGTCATTATTATTAACTCCATTTTACATAAAGGAAAGATTAGAGCTCATTAGACCTCAAGTTTGTGCCCTGGACCCTAAGGCTAAGCACTTACTTACTATGTGCCCAGCATTGTGCCAGAAAATACGGAGGAAAAAGTAAGCCATTTCTTCAGATCCAAAGGGCATCATAGGCCTATTACAGAGGCAGTACCAAAACATATGAAACTCAGTTTATAGAAAGAAGTATGATTTAACGAAAAGAGAAAGATAACCACCAGATAGAGTTGCCAGACAGATTTTCTTAGGGCAGTGGAACTTGAGCTGGCCTTTAAAGACAAAGAGAAGGGTCAAAGAGACAGTTGGATATGTGAATCCATTGGATGTGCATGCCTTCAGGGATGAAGGCCCTCAAAAGAGGAAACAGGATGGCATCCACTCTACCACCTGCTCCCACCAACCCATTCATCCATTCATTCTTTTCTTCACTGACCTTCCTGTTCCAGTCCTTATTCTAAGCCCTAAGGTGGAAGAGGAGTTTGGCGGAGGTGGTAGTATCAGAGGCATTTGAATCAAGCAACTCCATTTTGAATAGGGGCTGGGTAAAATAAGGCTGAGACCTACTGGGTTGTATTCCCAGGAGGTTAAGCATTCTAAGACACAGGCTGTGATAGGAGGTCAGCGCAGGTTACAGGTCATAAAGACTTTGCTGATAAAACAGCATGTGGTAAATAAACCAGCGAAATCCCACCAAAACTGAAATACCGATGCGATGAAAGTGACCTCTGGTAATTCTCACTGCTCTGTATACGCTAATTATAATGCATTAGCATGCTAGAGGACACTCCTACTATTCCCTGACCAAACTGAAGGTCAGGCTGCTATTTCGCTAGGCCCAATAATGAGATGCAGATGAACTGCGGGGGAAGAGAATGTTCATTTTTGTAACTGGTTACAGGGAGAAGACCTGGAAATTATCACCAGACCAAACTCAAAATTAGTTTTTCAGAATTTATATGTCTTCTAAGCTATATGTCTACATGGAAGCATGCATTCATCTAAAGACATAAGTGATTAACTTCTTTTAATCTGTAAGTAAGATCTGAGTCCTGAAGACCTTTGTCTGGAGCCTCAGTAAGTTTACTTAATCTAAATGGGTCTAGGTGCTGAGGTGATTACCCTTATCTTGCCTCCTGCTAAATCATAAAGGTTTGGGGAGTTCCTTTAGACTCCAATAAACTTGTGTGCGGAGGCCTGGGGAATTTCTTCAGATCCCCAATAAAACTTGTTTAATCCTCAAAGGATCCTGTTAAGAATTCCTTCATTAGACTGTCATGCTTCAAGGCCCAGGAAAGCCTAGGCAAAACTCTTAGTGGGCTCTTTGTTATATTCCAGACTTTGTATAAGGTCACTGGCTCAGTCAGCTTTTAATGTTTAACCTAGCTACTCAGCCAGTGCTGGGACAGTTGTAATAGAGGCCTGTGCTAGTGAGACCTGGCCTGCCATACTACCAGTGCCATGACAGTTTACAAATGCCATGGCAATGTCAGAAAGTTACCCTAGATGGTCTAAAAAAAGGAGGGACCCTCAATTCCTGGAATTGCTCACCTCTTTCCCAAAAAATTACAAATAATTCACCCCTTGTTTAGCATATAATCAAGAAATAACAATAAAAATAGCCAATAAACAGCCCATTCTGCTCTCTGCCTATAGAGTTGCCATTCTTTTATTCCTTTACCTTCTTAACAAACTTGCTTTCACTTTACTCTATGGACTTGCCCTGAATTCTTTCTTATGGTAGGAACCAATCCAGAGATTCATCACTGGAATCTAATAAAAAGTGGAGGAATTAGTGCTGATCAGCATTTCATAGGCCAAGACAGCCATTAAGGGGTTTGGATCACAATCCTGAACACCATACATAATCCCAAATGTTGTAACCCTGAAAGGTCAAAATTCCTAAACTCAAATCCCTTATGTTTAAATTCCCCAAAATCACAATCGTGTGACAATTGTATCACATTAGGCAGAACTATTATCTTATTATAGTTCCTATCAGGAAATTATGGCTTAAAGAGATTAATATGGGTGCCAAATTGACAAGGGCAGATTTTGTGGACTCAATTTTAGTTGTCAACTTGTCTGGATTAAGGGATACCTAGAAACATGCTAAAGTGTTATTTTAGTTATATCTGTGAGGGTGTTCCCAGAGGAAATTAGTGTGTGAGTCTGTGTGAACCAGATAGGGAAGATCTGTCCTCAATGTCAGCTGGTACCATCCAATGAGTTGAGGACCTGGAGAGCCCACAAATACAGAAGGCAGGCTGGGTGTGGTGATTCATGCCTGCAATCCTAGTACTTTGGGAGGCTGAGGCGGGTGAATTGCTTGAGCCCAGGAGTTTGAGACCAGCATGGGTAACATGGAAAAAAAATCCTATCTCTACCCCAAAAAAGAGGAAAAATTAGTCAGGCATGTTAGTGCATGCCTGTAGTCCCGGCTGTGCAAGAGGCTGAGATGGGAGGATCGCTTGAGTCCAGGAGGTGGAGGTTGCAGTGAGCCAATGTCACACCACTGCACTCTAGCCTGGGCAACAGAACAAGACCCTGTCTTAAGAAAACACAGATAACAAACAAATAAAAAACAGAAGCAAACTGGCCTCTCTCTGAGATCTGGAACACACTCTTCTTCAGATGCCTTAGACATCAGAACTCCTGGCCAGCAGCCTTTGGACCTGGGACTGACTAGCAGCCCCCAGGTTCCTGTCAGCCTCAGACTCAGAGTTACACCATCAGTCTCCCTAGTTTTGACATATTTAGAATTAGGTACAATCAAGACTTCTAAAAATGAATTTCAAGATGTCACCAATAAAAAGCTTTTTTAAAAAATGCATCCCAATGCATTTGGTGAAAAATTCAGATGAGTGAATTGACCACGTAATCTGGCAATGACAACTTCAGTGTATGAATGGATAATGTGCCTGCATTGGCATTCCGTCCAGCTGATGACATTCTACAAACTTTTAATAAATTAAAGTTGCATTTGCCCTAAGAAGCCAGTGAAGATACTGATTGGTTTGAAAATAATTATGTGCAAGGTAAGATAAGAAGACACACAATGATGTTGCTGTTCAACAAGTATTGTTTCTGCCAAATTTATGGTCTGCATATAAGTGTATGGATTTCCACATGCCCAAAACAACATAGAGGGATGGCACAGAAGATGAAAAAATTTAATAGAGAATTCTCATGTCCACATACAGTATATAGAATCACAGAAGAATTTCCAAAAAAACATCACCACCTAGAAAATGAATACGAACAGAGAGATGTGAACAAGAGGCGAGAACAACGCCAGAACAACCAAAGCCAGCCGCCTGCTGCATCCCATGCCTAGTGCCAATGTCCCGCCACCATCGTGCTGCCACCATGCCCAAGAGAAAGGCTGAAGGGGATGCTAAGGGAGATAAAGCCAAGGTGAAGGACGAACCACAGAGAAGATCCGCGAGGTCATCTGCTAAACCTGCTCCTCCCAAGCCAGAGCCCAAGCCTAAAAAGGTCCCTGCAAAGAAGGGAGAGAAGGTATCCAAAGAAACAAAGGGAAAAGCTGATGCGCAAGGAGGGGAATAACCCTACAGAAAACAGAGATGCCAAAACAGACCAGGCACAGAAAGCTGAAGGTGCTGGAGATGCCAAGTGAAGTGTGTGCATTTTTTATAACTGTTTACTTCTGGTGACTGTACAGTTTGAAATACTATTTTTTTTTCAAGTTTTATAAAACTGTAGAATTTTGCTTTAATTTTCTTAAGCTATGTTGTTAGCACACAGAACATGTCATTATTGTTTTGGAGGGAAAGGGCGTATGTCATTAATAGAATGTCTCTAAAGCTGGATTGATGTGGGGAAAACACCTTTCCCTTCTAGTTTTGAAAGACTTCCTCTTGGCTCCCAGGAGAAGGGATTCCCTGACTTTGACACACATGGCCATCTTGGCACAAAAGCCTTGTGGCATGGAAAAACAAATTCGTTTTTATGTCCTCTTCTCCCTTTCCGTCTTTCAGCATAGACTTAACTCCCTTAAGCCCAGACATCTGTTGGGACCTGACCCCCAGTCATTGGTTACCAGTGTGTCAGGCAATCTAGACTTTGCAGTGATGCCACTGAGATGGCACCTGTCAAAAGAGCAGTGGTTCCATTTGTAGATTGTGGATCTTCAGAGAAATTCTACAATTTTCATTTCACTTCCTGAAAGTCAGGGTCGGCTTGTGAAAAGCTGTTAAACAACCTGCTGAATGTGAAATGTCAACCTTCACTCTAAACTTTTCCTGTTCAGAGCATTGAATGAAGACTTCAATGGGTTTTATAGTGGCTTTCTGATTTTTGGTAATCTGTTGAAGAAGGGAGTTTGAAAGTTGTTTTATACTTTTAAAGATTGTCTGCCCATGTCCTGTCTGAAATACCATGACTGTTTATGGAAAGTATCTTTAATAAAGCTGGATATAATTTGGCTTGGAAAAAAAGAAAAGAAAATGAATGCGAACATATTCTCCAAGAAGAGCCATGTTCTAAAAGAAAAAAAAGTAGCTATTTATTGCAATGCAAGACTTCAAAATGTAGTTAAAGGTTATGAAAGTTAGAAAGCTCTTATGGACTTCCTTTGTGTAATTGCCCTTAATCTACCCCTGAAATATGCATTTTCATATGTCAAACTTTCATTTTAGTTTTGTTTATTGTTTTTAGTTTTTTCTCACAATTTTAAATTGCCAGCATTATTTTTTACAATTCCTATGCTATGTAGTTTATCTTTGCATCATTTCCAATACTGGAGGTATACATTTTGTAAAGATGTTTAGAGAGTTCTAATTTATTGTATGCATTTTGTATAAATTTGACCTCACAAAAGTGCAGTATTGCAACATTAACTTTGTGTGTAAGCATTGTGCATAACATAAAAGTGTTAAAACTTCCTCAATAAATGATGACATGTCCTTTTTGTACATCTACTTTTGTGAAAGGTAAAATTTCTCAAGATCTGGCTCTTTGAGTGATTGCATGAGCAGTGGTGACTCACTGCGGTTTTGGATCCAACTCGTCAAAAAACTTAGGTTGTCCCTACACTATTTCAGGTGACTGAAGTTATACGAGCTATTTCTTTATAAATACGGTTCATCTGCTCATAACTGTCATACTCATGTGATTGTCATTAGTGCACCTGAGTGCTTATGCTTGCAAAAATATGTATCTTCTTATTGCCTATTTTATTGTGTAAAGAGCCCTATAACATATTCTGTAGTGCTTTTATGTTTCTCAAGTAAACCTCCTGTTACAAAAGTAAATAATTATCTTTTAAATAATTTTGAAATTCTTATTTCAGAATTATCTTTTTCGGATTTTGATCTTTCAAGATTTTTGGATTGTGTCTTTGGGATTATGACTGGCTCCCCCATGCTCCATTTCTTCCTTTTTGTCTTTGAGCTTCCTGTCCCTTAGATCATGTTCTTCTAGTTTGGGGAATATTTTTTAAGAAGGAATATTTCTGGCTTTTCAAACAAGGACATTCTTGCCACATGTCCGTCTAGTGCATGATACCTCTTGGTTCCATATGCTATAGATCATAGGATTCTGCACAAGGAGAAAAAGGTGTAAACAGCAGATACCTCCCAGCCCTCCTCTGATGAGTAACTAGAGCTGGGGCAAAGGCAGATGAGGATGCAACACCAATAACGTGGGAGAGCCACAATGAGGTGGGAGGAACTGGTGGAGAAGGCCTGGTGCTTTCTCTTAGCTGAATGCATCCTCAAGATGGTGGCTGCAAGGCAGCCATAGGGGAAGCAGACAAAGAGGAAGGGGATGGTGACAGCGGCCACAATGAAGGCAGACAGCTGCCTCATGCATGCGGTGTCTGCACAGACAAGGCACTTGCTGTGGGCATGTCACAGAAGAAGTGGTAGGTTTCATTGGGCCATGGAATGGAAGTTGTCAGATCAGAATAGTCAAAAACAGTGACAACAGGAATCCCAGCCTTAAAGAACCTAAAATCATCTGCCCACAGAGCTACCCACTTGCTATGAGATTATAACTGAATGGACGACAGATAGTCATATACCTGTCATAGGCCATGACAGCAAGCCAGACACACTCAGATCCTCTCAAAAGGATGACAAAGAGCATCTGAGTTCCATAGCCAGGGAGAGAGATAAGCATCTTCCCCATGGAAAGGATGCTAGCCAGTGTTGCAGGAGAAATGTTGGTGGAGTAGCCAATTTCCAACATAGTCAATGCCAACAACAACAAAAAAGTACATTGGAATAAGAAGGAAGGGATCTCGCCAGACTGTGGGCCCAGTGGTGAAGCTTCCAACAAGGCTTCCTAGGTACAACATCAAGGCTGCAATTATAAAGGAAGCCACCTCCAGGTCTGTTGAAAAGGAGTGGAAGTGTACCACTCCCGTCTGGTTTTCCTCTTCCATTAGACCTGGTACAAGGAAAGAAATCATAGGCAAACTTACTCTCCTGTGTCATTGAGCCTGAGCAGGTTCAGATATGTTAAAAACACGGTATGCAATCACTGCGTAGGTATCCTCATTGCTTCCTTCGGAGTTCAGTCAATGTTCTGCCACTCCCACTGCTTAATCTACTGGCCATGTGACCTTGGAGAAGTTATGAACATCAGCATTCTTTGTGCAAACATGGGAAGAGTGTAACGCCCATCTCAGAGTCCTAGGGAAAATTAAATGAGATTTTATGTATCAGAGTGCTAAGCCCAGTGCCAGACATGCAATAGGTTCTCAATAAGTGTCTTCTTTCTGTTTTTATTCTTTCCTTGGTCTTCATTTCTTTTTTTTTCATAGCAAACTGCTGATCATTCTCATGCCTCTTCATTACTATGATTATTCCATCACCCAGCTTAAAATATGCACAGCTTAAAAGTATAGATTTCTGGCTGGGCGCGGGGGCACACTCCTGTAATCCCAGCACTTCGGGAGGCTGAGGCGGGCAATCACCCGAGGTCAGGAGTTCAAGATCGGCCTGGCCAACATAGTGAAACCCCATTTCTGCTAAAAATACAAAAATTAATTGGGTGTGGTGGCACATGCCTGTAATCCCAGCTACTCCGGAAGCTGAGACAATCACTTGAACCCAAGAGGCAGAGGTTGCAGTGAGCCAAGACCACACCACTGCACTCCAGCCTGGGTGGCACAGCAAGATTCTGTCCCAAAAAAACAATAGTATGATTTCCACAAACAGCATATGATTCTCATATCAAACCCAGAGGAAAGAAAGCACAGATGTTTCCTTTGTCCATTTTACAAATGTGGAAACTGGAAACCCAGCAAAATTAAATAACTCATGCTGTTATCCTTCCTCTTCTTGAAACCCAGAATTTCGGTATTATATTTTTTTTCCTTGAAACTTCAACAACCCTGTTTCTTTTGTGTTGTGTGCTCTTATTTCACTTTCTATGTCGACTTTCATTTCTATTATGGTGTCCCACCTAGCGAGGGTTTTCATACCCTCATGCATGTACAGCTCATCCCTTCAACAACCCAACTTATCATACTCTTAATCTTTCTTAAACACTTGTTAATTTGTATTACTCCACTCCAACCACAGGTTTAAAAACTAAAGGAACCTCTTCTTATGGTATCACATTCGAATACTACAGGCTGATTCAAAAAACATTTTTATAAATAAAAGTAGCACAACTTCCTGCGAGTATAACTTCAGGAAATAGCTTAATCAACATGCTTCACTGCCCCATCCCACCCACCACGCATTTGTTGATTTTTTTTTTCTTTTTTTGAGACAGGGTTTTATTCTGTCACTGCAACCTCAGCTTCCTGGGTTCAAGCGATTCTCCCACCTCAGCCTCCTAAGTAGCTGGGACTACAGGTACATGCCACCATGCCTGGCTAATTTTTGTATTTTGGGGTAGAGATGGGGTTTCGCCATGTTGGCCAGGCTGGTCTCAAATTCCTGACCTCAAGGGATATGCCCACCTTGGCCTCCCAAAGTGCTGATTACAGGCATTAACCACTGTCAATTTTTTTTTTTAATGTTATTGAGTTTCAATTGGCTGCAAGGTAGATTTTTCATGTGCACACAAACATTTCTCTATGTTGTGGCTGACCTTTCCAATTTGGTTCAACTGGCCAAGGGTAGCAGCCTACGGAGTGATGTTTGCATTGATCTTTTCAGGGGATACTCTGAGAAGCTGCGCCATGCAAAAACAAACAAACAAACAAACAAAAAACACTATTCTGCTAAAATTGAAGGATGGGGGTCAAAAAATGCAAATTAAAACATTCAACCACCATTTTGTTTGTTTAAGTGAGCCAAGTTTTTTTGTTGTTTTTTTGGGGGGGGTTAGAAGGGACTTTTTATTGAAGGGCGTGGCTCCGGCGTCTGATTAACAGCTACAACTGGATCTCCTTTAACACCCATTTCTCCATCAGCTTCACCTTGTACTTTGGCTAGAACTTGGCTCTCCAGGCTCGATCATATTCCTCCTCTGGAAGCTCTAGAGCCGGTCTCCAAAGATGTTTGTTGCCTTCGGGCTTCAGAGTCCTGAGCGAGTCAGTCAGTTCTGAGCTGAGCTGCACGTCTGGATGCCTAGCACTTGATCCGCCCCAGCCTTCGGGGCTTGTCAGTCTCGGCCTCCCGCCGCCGCGCCAGCTCCGCCAGCCTCAGGGCCACCTGGGCCTTGAACAGGCGCAGCCGGAACAGCTCCTGGTGCCGGAGCCAGGCCGCCCGCAACGCGGCCTGCTCTGCACGCAGCCTTCTCCCGCCGCCGCTGCTGCTCGGTCTTCCTCTCTGTGGCGGCCTGGCGGGCGGGCGTGGGGCAGACCTTGGCCTCCCCAGCCTCCGGCCCCTCGTCCAAGCCCTGCTCCCTGTCACCGTCCGACTCCTCCAGCAGCCCCTCGCACAGCTCCTGGAACCGTGAGGAGGAGCCGGGCCAGGGCGAGGGGCCGGGGGCTGGGGATGCCGAGGTCTGTCCCAAGCTTGTCTGCGGCCTGCTCCGTGGCGGGCAAGGCCAGCTGCCGCTCCAGCTTCCCCGCCTCCGTCTGCCGCCGTAACGCCACCTCGTGGGCCGCTGAGAGCAGGGTCTGGCGGTCTTCAAAGGACCGGTTGTAGGAGGCTCCGGCAGGCGCCACCTCCAGGGTGGGGGCCTGGGACCGCTTAGTGTGCAGGCGTGGTGGCCGCTTCACTCCCTTCTTCTTGGTCTGCTCCAGGAAAAACGCATCCTGGCCAACCAACGGCCTGGCCAACCAACGGCCTGGCCAACCAACGGCCTGGCCAACCAACGGCCTGGCCAACCATGGCCTGGCCAGGGCTGTTGTCTGGGGCCCGGAGGTCGTAGAAGGGCCGCTCCACGGTGTCCTGGGGCCCGGGCTTGGACTTGGAGGCAGGAGAGTTGAGGAGCTGGGCCTGGGCCCTGCGGGCCTCCCCGGGGCAGCTCGGCCTGCTTGGCCAGCTTCTCCCAGAGCGGCTCCTTCCGCCTGAGCTTCTTGGCGTTGGGGCCCTGATGGGCAAGGACATCTTAGGGGGCAGGGACTTTGGATGTGTTCTCGAGGAGGAGGTCAACCCGAAGAGGTTTCTTGAGAAGCAGTGACTTCTGGACTTTGGTTCTCTTCTTAGCCCTTTTTCCTGGGAGCCAGGGTGCATTAAGAAGAGGTTTTCATTCGGGACCTCTGACAACGAGCCACGCTCATGCCCTCCTGCAGCTGCACATCTTCCAGGAACTGGTCAACCTCCAGCCCCAGCGGCTCCTGAGCGAGCTGCTGCCAGCCGCACTTATTTCTTGGGCCTCGCCACTGCTGCCTCAGTGCTCGGTCCACCAAAGTAGGCCACAGCCCCAGGAAGCCGCAATCGTCATCACTTTTCGAGCTGTACTTCCCACCAGCGCCACCGCCTCCCACCACCATCTTGTCAAAGGAAGAATCTAGCCCTAAGTGAGCCAAGTTTTAATATTGTCTCTTGTTTTGGTTGTTTTTTAATAATGATCCTCAGTGCCGGTGAAGTTGGGGTGAAAGGAGCAGTTGCAAGGTCCCTGGAGGGGAGATGAAAGGTTATTTTCTTTACAAGTTGTCTAACAGAAATTTCCTGAAGTTTTTGATACGGGGCAAATAATCTTACCTACAACTACCACCTAGTCTTTCCTTCCCCCCTATTTAATTCCTCATAGTAAGTGATCCAATGTAGTTTATATCTATCTATCCAAAAACATGGGGCATGGATAGCTGTGTTGAAAGTGAGGTTGAATTGGATCAGTAGCTCTCAACATCCTCTGCAACATAGGAATTGTACAGTGTTTTCCCTATGATCCGCACTATAGTAGTGATAGAACTATAAAGGATTAGCTAAGATGATATATATTATACATGTATATTTCATTCAATGCCCATAACTACTCTAGGAGGGAAGAACAGCACTATTATCCCCATCTTACAGATGAGGAAACCGAGGCTTTAAAGGGTTTATTAACTTACTCAAACACACACATGCAGTGAGTAGCTGAGCCAAGGTTGGAATCCATGTCTGTCTGAATTCAGACCTGCTCTTTTTTTTTTAAGCTATTTTTTCTAATTTATTCTTTTTTATTTCAAATAGTTTTGGGGTACAAGTGGTTTTTGGTTACATGAGTAACCAAATGATGAGTTCTTTAGCAGTGAATTCTGAGATTTTAGTGAACCCATCAGCCAAGCAGTGTGCACTGTGCCAAATAGGTAGTCTTTTATCCTTCACTTCCCTCCCAACCTCCACCCCACCCCAGGTCTTCAAAGTCCACTGTATCACTCTGTATGTCTTTGAGTCCTCATAGTTTAGCTCCCACTTACAAGTGAAAATATATGGTATTTGGTTTTCCATTCCTGAGTTACTTCACTTATGATAATGGCCTCTAGTTCCATCTGAGTTGTTGCAAAAGACATTATTTCATTCCTTTTTACGGCCGAATCATATTTCATGGTGCATATATACCACATTTTATTTATCCACTGGTTGGTCGACTGGCATTTTGCTTGGTTCCATATCTTTGCAATTGCAAATTGGACTGCTAAAAACATGCATGTGCATGTGCCTTATTCATATAATGACTTCTTTTCCTTTGGGTAGATACCCAGTAGTGGGATTGCATGAATGAATGGTGGATCTATTTTTAGTTTTGTAAGGAATCTCCATACTGTTTTCCACAGGGGTTGTACTAATTTACATTCCCACCAGCAGTGTAAAAGTGTTCCCTTTTCACCACACCCATGCCACCACCTCTTGGGTTTTTGTTTTTGGTTTGGTGTTTTCTGTTTGTTTATTTGTTTTTGAGACAGTCTTGCTCTGTGGCACAATCTTGGCTCACTGCCACCTCTGACTCTTGGGCTTAAGCAGTTCTTCCACCTAAGCTCTCAAGTAGCTGGGACCACAGCTGCACACCATCACACCCAGCTAATTTTTTGTATTTTTGGTAGAGACAGAGACAGAGTTCTACGACGTTGCCCATGCTGGTCCCAAACTCCTGGGTTCAAGTGATTTTCCTGCCTTGGCCTCCCAAAGTCCTGGGATTACAGGTGTGAGCCACTGAACCCCACCTATATCTATTGTTTTTTTGACTTTTTAATTACAGCCATTCTTGCAGGAGTAAGGTGGTGTCTCATCATCGTTTTAATTTGCATTTTCCTGATGACTCGTGATGTTGAGCATTTTTTTGTATGTTTCTTGGCTGATTGCATATCTTCTTTTGAGAAATTTCTATTCATCTCCTTTGCTCACTTTTTAATGAGCTTATTTGTGGTTTTTTTTCCTTGCTGATTTGAGTTCTTTATAGATTCTGCATATTAGTCCTTTGTCAGATGCATAGTTTGCAAATATTTTTACCCACTCTGTGCGTTGTCTGTTTACTCTGCTGATTATTTCTTTAGCTGTGAAGAAGCTTTTTAGGTTTAATTACAGACTTGCTCTTTTCATTGTTTTTCTCTATTGCCTCAAACTCCATGCTTTGAAAATTAGCCTGCCTAATCATTTATTTTAAATAGCAAAATAAGAAAGTAATAATAATAAGTAATGCATGTGCAGTATAACCTTATCTCAGAGAAATATATGACTAATACTAGGGCTTTTGAAATATTAAAATTACCTTGAAAAACCCTTAATAATCTTGAGGGCCCTTTGAGATTTGGAATTCCAAAGTTGCAACCACTAAATGACCTCTAAAACTTCTCTTCATTCTATGATTTCATGAGAGACTTTGAAGAAGAGGAAGATGAAGAAGAGCTCTAGATGATCTCTCATTTCTCCAAGGAATGTTGGAAGAAAAATCATCTCCCCAGATCTTTTTTTCTCTCTTAAGATAGAGTCTCAACTCTGTCACCCAGGCTGAAGTGCAATGGTGCGATCTTGGCTCACTACAACCTCCACCTGCCAGGTTCAAGCTATTCTTTTTTTTTGGAGACAGAGTTTCGCTCTTGTTTCCCAGGCTGGAGTGCAATGGCACGATCTCGGTTCACCGCAACCTCTGCCTCCTGGGTTCAGGCAATTCTCCTGCCTCAGCCTCCTGAGTAGCTAGGATTACAGGCATGCGCCACCATGCCCAGCTAATTGTTTGTATTTTCAGTAGAGACATGGTTTCATCATGTTGACCAGGATGGTCTCGATCTCTTGACCTCATGATCCACCCGCCTCAGCCTCCCAAAGTGCTGGGATTACAGGCGTGAGCCACCATGCCTGGCCCCCTTTTTTTGTTTTAATTATACTTTAAGTCCTGGGGTACATGTGCAGAATGTGCAGGGTTGTTACATAGGTATACATGTGCCATGGTGGTTTGCTACACCAATCAACCTGTCATCTACATTAGGTATTTCTCTTAATGCTATCCCACCCATAGCCCCCAACCCCCAACTGGTCCTGGTGTGTGATGTTCCCCTTCCTGTGTTCATGTGTTCTCAATGTTCAACTCCCACTTACAAGTGAGAACATGTGGTGTTTGGTTTTCTGTTCTTGTGTTACTTTGCTGAGAATGATGGTTTCCAGCTTCATTCATGTCCCTGCAAACATGAACTCATCCTTTTTTATGGCTGCATAGTATTCCATGGTGTATATGTGCCACATTTTCTTTATCCAGCCTATCACTGATGGGCATTTGGGTTGGTTCCAAGTCTTTGCTATTGTGAACAGTGCTGCAATAAACATATGTGTGCATGTGTTTTATAGTACAATGATTTATAATCCTTTGAGTATATACCCAGTAATGGGATTGCTGGGTCAAATGGTATTTCTGGTTCTAGATCCTTGAGGAATCACCACACTGTCTTCCACAATGGCTGAACTAATTTACACTCCCATCAACAGTGTAAAAGCGTTCCTATTTCTCCACATCCTCTCCAGCATCTGTTGTTTCCTGACTTTTTAATGTTCGCCATTCTAACTGGCATGAGATGCTATCTCATTGTGGTTTTGATTTGCATTTCTCTAATGACCAGTGATGGTGATCTTTTTTTCATATGTTTGTTGACCACATAAATGTCTTCTTTAGAGAAGTGTCTGTTTATATCCTTGGCCCACTTTTTGATGGGCTGTTTGTTTCTTTCTTGTAAATTTGTTTAAGTTCTTCGTAAATTCTGGATATTAGCCCTTTGTCAAATGGATAGATTGAAAAAATTTTCTCCTGTTCTATAGGTCGTCTGTTCACTCTGATGATAGTTTCTTTTGCTGTGCAGAAGCATCATGCTACCTGACTTCAAACTATACTACAAGCTGTTCTTGTGTCTGAGCCTCCCAAGTAGCTGGGATTACAGGCGTGTACCACCAAGCCCAGCTAATTTTTTTGTATTTTTTAGTAGAGATGGGGTTTTGCTGTTGGCCAGGCTGGTCTCGAACTCCTGTCCTCAAGTGATCTGCCCACGCCAGCCTCCCAAAGTGCTGGGATTACAGATGTGAACCACCACACCCAGCCCTCCCCTGATGTTCTAATGAAACATTAGTATTCACTAATTTTTAACAAATATTTATTGAGAGACTACTGTCAGGATCTGAATGATTCAATAGATAATACCCAAGTGGATCATGGATTAAAAGTCCTATTTTAAATATGTTAAATGTGAGATACTTATTCATGACCCAAATAGAGATATCAGGTAGATAAGCGTCTGTACAAGTTTGGAGTTCAGGAGCAAGGCTATGCTGGCTGGAGATACACTATGAGAGGATTATCAGCATACTTAAAGCCAAGCAACTAAATAATAACACTACAAAAATATGTCAATAGAAAACAGGACCTGGGACCAAGACCCAGCTTGTGTAGAAGTTAGGGAAATACAAGTTGGCAAAGCAAATTAAGAACTATCAAACAGGATTAAAATTAGTAGGACAATATGCTAATTATCCTGATCTGATCACTATATATTATATGTATTGAAGCATCACTACGTACCCTATGAATGGGTACAATTACTGTCAATTAAAAAAGAAAAGAAAAATTTGGAGGACACTATTTCCCAGAAACAAAGACAGTAGAAAATAATGTGGAATATGGCAAAAAAAAAAAAAAAATGCTGCATGTGGAAAATTTTTTTAATTAATTCTAGACAAATAAAGTGAAAACAATAATTTTTCTTTCCCCCAACTGACCTCATCATTGAATTCATGAACAAGTTATTAAAAGATCATCCCCAGGGGAGATGTACCTATGGAATAATCCTGATGCAATGTTAACTCTTAAACTACATTTAATCGTGTTGATTTTTGCTTTCCAAGCGACCTCAGTCATCTCAGGAGACCAGCAATGACTTGTTAGGCGGTTAGTTACGAATGTCATTATGTGATGATAATTCAAGTCTGAATACCAGTGCAACTTTAAAAGTAAGTTCCAAGCTAAAGAGATGTGATAAGCCCAGATGTTATCTTGTACAAAGAAGAAAGAAGCAAGATGGAATACAACTCAAGAGTTAATCTG